ATTAAAAATGTGGAAATGCAATATCAACTCTATTTAGTGTTTGCTCTCAGATATTGCTTTATTATTTTGCTTGAAATGTTTGTTATGTATGTATGTATGTTTCTAGCATTCTGCATGGCAGCTTGGAGGTTGAACGTCCTGTGTAACAGAGACTTGATCAAGAAGAGGTCTTTGGCTCAAACGCCTGTCTATCAACTGCTGCCACTTGGGGAAGAAGAGGCTACCAGACTGAGGGGTGAATATCAACAGTTTAAAAACAAATTCAAGTCCTTTCCTTTTATGGTATTTTCAAAGAGAAATGTAATTGTTTCAGTCCAAGAATTAATGCAAAGTTTGATATTTCAATTAAAGATTTCATTTGAGAGCAGACCAAGATACATGGTCAAAACACTGAACAGTTTTGCTTTACATTGCAACAAATTTGTTTAACTTAGGAAGATGTTCTTTTGAAAAAGCCATCTTTGTTAACAGGTTTATATTGGTTTATTTGCAGCAACATTCCAGCCTAGTTCCACGCAAAAAACAGGGAGCAATATGGCGGAGAAAGAGGAGGATCAGCAGTCTGGAACTCTTTACACTAATGATGACGGCTCTGATGGGTGTGTAGAACAATCTTGTTTCGCAATTTTTGATTTAGACAAATATTATATAGCTGGAATTGAGCATAAACTTTTCACGAAATAACAGATGTCATCTACATGCACATGTATGTATGTATGTAAGCTTTGTTTTAATACATGTTCAAAATACATTATGTTCAAGTTTTATACTAATTTTCAGTTTGTCTTGTCAAAAATTCATTACCAAATAAACTCTCTATTCAAAGTGTAATATGACTTCTCAGTTATTGCTCTCAAGCCCTTTTTAGCGTATTTGGTAGTGGATTATTGATATCATCTGTTTAAGTGTTTTATAACATTGTAGCCTGGTCATCTTGGTGGACACACAGGAGCTTGGCGGTGACCACAGAGGGCTTGGGCAGGTTAGTCTTAGAGTGGGCTCTCTTGATTAGGCAAAAAAGCTGTAATCTGGAAATTTTTCAATCTTTGAATTCTGAGTATTAGTTATTATAATGTTTTCTTTTACATCTGGGTATATTCCCGTAAATGAAGATATTAGTATTTGTTAAAGAAAAAGGCAAGAATGTAACAGAAATAACTTTTTGCTTCTTGTCGAAGTAATATTGATATTTGAGAAGAGAAAAATTTACCAGATAAGTCTATTTAGAATCATTTTTGTATATTTGCTGTATTTTAGTTGATAGACCTGATCAAACAAACGGGACTGAGATATCGGACCAAAAAGTTGGCGTGTGGAGATTATTCCTGGTTACTGAGATGTGGGGGTGAGGAGAGAGTGATGCCACTACTGGTAGAGAGGAAGAGAGCAGGTAATTAATTTGTTTGGTGACCGAGCACTCAGGCTCAGTGTTTGTCCTCATGGATGATAGTGATTTGCATTTCAATATTATGCTGTATTTCCAGCCCTATTACTGTCATTTTAACGGCAGAATTGTATCTTTGGCTTAATTTGATTTTAAGCATTACAGATTGTTTTCAAACTTAAATCTATGCCTTAGTGCAAAATTCTTCTCCATTTAATTAATAAATACCTGAATATCAAATATATTTTGTTCACAACATTCCTAAGGGTTGGGAGTTAGTAAATGTTCTGTGTCTGTTATGTAATACTTTTTGTCTGGTCATTAGCACATGTTGACCACATAAAAACATTCAAAGTTTTAAGGTGTGAACTGATCCCATGGCCTGTCATGACTGAGGCGAGGACTCTTCCAGTAAGGACTTAATTCAGTCAAATGGCATAGGCACAACTATTATCATATTCTTTAACTATTCTTTTGCTACAGAGTCCTAAAATTTGATTACAGACAAGGCATTGGCCATGCTACCGTCCAGCTGCCTCTTAGACTCCCTATTTCAATTTTTTATCACAAGGAACCTAGACTGCCTGTCTGGGTAAGAAAGTGAATTTGGATTCCAAATTTCAAAGCCCTCACTGAACCCTGTCTACAGTACCCAGAAGTACTTAATGGAAAATTCCTGGAAATTGAGGGTATATAAAATTTTATTCCCTAGCTACTTGTGCCTTTTTTTTAGATGACCTGGCAAAAAGCCTAGTAGATGGCAGGTATGGGAAGCAGCGCCGGGATATGGTGATATGGAAGGCAGCGTTCACGTCCCAAGGTGTCCCTGCTGTGCTGAAGTACATCTTGGAGTCTAGGCCAGAGCAGTTTGTGGTGCAGTGTGCTGATGGGTGTGGTGGAGTGGGCAAGTGTGGCTACCCAAGTGCTCTACAGTTAAATGTTGGTACCTTTTTTTTTTCAGTTGGAGCCATTTGCTGAATATTGGGTTCATTGAATTGTGCTTTCTTGTTACTTGTTGGAATAGCTTATTTGAACACTTTCTCATTAACAACCAGCTGTACTATATGTATTATTTGAGACAACTAAAGATTTGAGATTGTTAGTGCCTGCATAAGATATTATTTTTATCAAACAAGTATCAAAACACTACAAATTCTTGCCTGATAGTACTCTTTCTTATAGCTTTTGACTTAAAGTTAATATTTTCTGCCTTCTCTGGTTATATGTTTTCATGGGGTCAATACATTTGCAACTGGGGTGTTTTTTAACATATGCTTACACTTATTCTTTGTAGAAAGCTATTGAAGATCTGGAGAATTGCCAAGATTTTGAAGTTTTGAAGACGGACAACATTGGTCACACTGTGGAAATGCTGGCAATAATAACTGCAGAACTGCAGCAGAGGTGAATGCTATTTTTAGTTTTTTTAATTCAAATTTCCTCATTGAGGAATAAAAATAGAAGTTCATCTTGTTTTTTTGGCTATGAAACTGTTTAAAATATTCTCAAGTTTGAATGGAAAGTGATGCTAACAGTCTGATAAAATTTCATTCTAATCTGTAACGAATAAATTAAATGATATGATAACAACTTTAGTAGTTTTAGTTGAAAAAAAAAAGACGTTTTGGTATGAAATTCTGGTTTAAAGTAAGAACAGTATTTATTTATGTAGACGGTACATTGTTTTATATAAGACATAGCATCATTAGTATCATCAAGGGAAAGTGTTAAAAAATTTTCAGGAAAATTAAACATTAAACAGGGATGAGATTTTCCCCGATTATTGGCAGATTTCTGACTTTTTGAGAGTCAAAAATGTCATTGACTTAAGCAGACCGTGGACCCAACATCATATTTTCCGTTTTTTTCACTAAATGGCAGTCTTGTCCCTGTTTTAAGTAATACTTATTATTTGCCACAAAGATCACTGAGCACTGAATTTTGTTTTTAATTCACAGGTCAGACTGTGGTGAGTTTGATGACCTAATAGTGAAGGACATTAACCCAGACCAATTTATGACCACTCGGATAGAGTCAGCTGCAATAGGTTCTGAAGGCTCAGAAAGGGGGCATACCTCAACAAAGGCCAACAACTTCAAGAAAAGGCGCAAAACCTCTGCTACTGTTACGCCTGAAGATCCCAGCACGTCACATTGGGCAGATGAGTTACTGGTTGACACGAGTGTGGACCAGCACAAAACTAGAGATTCAGTGAAACACACTGAAAGCAATGATGACGATGATGATGAAAATCGTATTGTCAGAAAGAGCCAGTTGTCAGGGGACTATGAAAAATTGCCCAATGTCACAGAGAAACAAACTATGAAGGTGAGACCACAACAGAGCAACAACAGCAGAAGCCAACAAGAGAAAAATAACAATTACCTTACTGTTGAAGAAGATGAAGCCCCCATACAACTTGCCCAATATCACTCTACACCAGGTACATCGGTCAACGTTCCTCTGGTCAAGAAGCCAAAACCAGTCCCCACAATTCACATCCAGGAGGGAGTGCTGCCGAAAATCATAGGTAGATACCAACCAGAAAGTGACACTGCCCAACCAACAACCACCATCAAGGCAGGGCCAAGTATGCAAGGTGCTTTTAAGACTGGTGAGAACTATAACAAAACTGCATGGGTAAGACCACCAGTTTTATCATCTTTGGGTTCTGCTAGCGCAGTTCCCAAGGTATTAGGCAATCCACATAAAGCAATCACTGCAGGCAGTGAGAGCGTCATTGCTGACGATGACAATTTTGCCGCTAGTAGTGTTTCAGTGACTGGTAAACAACATAAACCTGCAAGGACAATAACAAGGAAGGCCTTTTCTGACACCTCTAACATCACAGAGCAGAAAGCAACTTCACCAGGAGTCCCGAGGAGAGTGCCAAAACTTAAAATGAGTTATCACCTCAACTCCCCAGAAGTCACACCATCCTCAACAGTCAGCACTCCATCATCAAGTACAGGTGCTAGGATATATTTGATGAAGACCCCACCAGGAAAGGGAGCCAGTTCTTCCCCAAAGTCACCTCCTTCAACTGGTGCTCCAGAAGGCGGCAAGGGGCAGGTCGCTGTCAGAAGAACTGTTTTTAGCGAGTTGTCTGATGATGACAGCAATCAAGGTCTGCCAGACCTCACCACCTATTCTACCAGCAAAGGTCCACGTGTTAAGAAAACAAAGATAGAAACGGCCTCTAGTGTACTCACAGATTTTCATTCGGTGAAATATGGTTCAAATACCTCTTCCGATAAAAGTTGCAGTATGACCGCACAATGTAATAATGAAAGACTTCAGGCGGAATTTGACAACAAAGTCCAAACACTGTTGGGCATTCTGCCCCATGTCAGCCAGGAGAGAGCCATCTCCGCTCTGCTGGATTGTAATATTGACGTGGAGAGATGTGTGTCAGTCCTGCTGGATGAGGAGGAAGCTGGGGGTCCAAGCAGTGTGGTAGACTTGACATCGATGTCACAATAATCTTAAAAAGATTTTTTGAAGTTGGACATGGTGCACACATACGTGATAAGCACAGCCTTTTTTTAAGAGTTACATGAAAGTCAAACTTTTGTATATTCTGTTAAGTTTGAATGTCTTTAGTCCCTTAAAGTGCTTTTTTTTTTTTTTTAATTCTCAGAGATATTTGAGGATTATTTGTTTTACTTAATCATCTAAGAAAGGCTAGAACAGGTAAATATGGCTTCAAGGTAGAATATTTTTGTCTCTTACAGTTACCTTTTTTCTTATGTAAGACAGTCTTTATTTAAAAAAGTGAAATGTTTTTTTACATGATTTTTTTGTGCCACTTTCATTTAAAGTTTTTTGTCATCATTATAGATTAAACTGCAGTTACTTTTGCTATTTTAGCTTTTTTGTATGAGAAACTTTTTACAGTATTTGTACATTGCTTGCAAATATAATTTGCGTTGTTAGTCATTCACTTTATGTAGAAATTTATTTTTAAATAACATAAAGAAAAACAGACAAAACATTTATCATGAATAGATTTTTTTTATTAAGAATGGTGGGAGAATGTTTTTCTAAAAGTCTAATCAAGACGTGTGCTTCATTCTGCTTCTTTCATAGCAAATTACAAGTATATTACCACTTAACACACATGCTTGACAGTAGTTTTGTATAAAAATAGTCCTATTTATATACAGCAGCCAAGTCTAGAGAGAAATCTTTCTGAACAGTGAACAAAGCAGCAACTTCAAGTGAGACCAGATATCTGCAGCAAACAATTGGAAACAATATGAAGCCATGATGTAGTTTTCAACAGAAGCAACCCCAAACACAGCAACAGTGACAAAGGTGCTATCAACAGTAGGGCAACTAGAAGCTAAAACTTATTTAAAAAGTAGAATGCAAATGAAGCCAGACCCTTTTGAAAGATCCACTGGCCAAAATGATTCCAGTGTTGAGTTCCTAGTTCAAATGTCCCCCTTATCTTTTTAAGTATAACTCTGCTTTGCTGCTTGTCTAAACTCACTCATTATACTATGCACAAATGTACAACGCCTATTTACAAAACTTCATAACATTTCACAGGAATTTCCTTCAAAAACTCCACTGAACTTCACCAGTCCTGTGTTGTCAAGTACTAGAAACCAAGTCAGAAAAGACGATTTAATCAAAAGTAAAACTGTTACTTTATAAGAGTAGTCAAAACATTTAAGACTAAACTTAGCCAATGTAAACCTACATTTCAAACAGCTCAACAACATGGCATTTACCTCGTAATAAAATTCTGCCCTACTATTCTGTACGCCTTCACACATCCTTCGCTCCAACAGCATCAGTGGCACTGAAAGCTTTCCCACAAACTTCTCTTGATACATTTCCCCCAAGATTTGATATTTTTACAACAGTTCATACAACACCTCCAATGCTAACAGCAACAGTATATTATTAAATCATTTGATTGAAAAATCATTATCTGATTGGAAAATAACTTCTCTAAGCGCCCCTCCCCCCCAGCCCACCCTGGCAGTGCTTTTATATATTGGATCAATCCTCCAATAGGGATTGTGATCTTACTCTTAGAATGTCACATTATACAATAGTACTCATATATTACTTCGATGAATTTGTACTCTGTATATAAGACATAGTCTTACTTTATATAATGATTGAAAAAAAAAAAAAAAGATCCAATCTACTACACACACACACATTTAAAGTAATGTTAAGCCACCGATGACAATGATGAATGAAAAGATGAACGTAATAATTAATGACCAGTCTGTCTTCCTTGAAGACACACGTAATGTGAATATTGATGTCCACCATGTTGCTTAAGTCAAGCTGCAGTCCCCAGTCCACCCTGGCCAGCCAAGATTCAAAGACGGCTCCAGGGGGGGAAAATAAGTTTCCAATAATAAGTACAACAATAGTGTGCCCAAAGCCAAAATCCTCTTCTCTATCGCTTTGCAAGTCATTAAATAATCCAGTTTTGCAGCACTTTAATGTAGTCTGCCTTTAAATAACTCCACATAAATAAGAAATAATCCTGTTGTTGTAGTATAATTCCACAAAATATGGTTTCGATATACTTCTTTATACATTATTTCTGATATTCCCTGTGTAGAAAGCAATCCATTTCCACTTCCAAGTTGCATTCAGAGCACAGCAGGGTACTCTGACATTCACTAGTTTCAGATTTCATCATCTTCATGGAACCATCCAATCCAGGCTCCAGTATCCATTTTTTGCTCCAGTCTTGTATTATTTGGTTGTCAACTTTTGTCATTTAGTCTGCCTGTGTGGTATCAATTTTTTTATCTCTTGCCAAGATAATCCTTAGGGTCGTTTTCATGCAGGACAGCCACAGCATCCTTGACAGCATGGAAGATGATGTTCTTCACCTACAACAGACAGGCAATTTGATTCTTTATGTTCCAGGATATCTACTTCATTAAAATTGCTTTCCATAACAATTACAACCAGAGTAGATAAGATTGTTCGCAAAATTTGTTTTTATGACTTCATATCTCATCTTCCCTCCAATTATGTATGACCAATTATATATGAATCTCTAACAATACTTCATAACTTCTTGGGCATGAAAATAAAACAGATCCTGATATTTGGAAGGTTAAATAAATAAATAAATAAATAAATAATTTAAAAGGGAACTTTACTCCTGCTGTTTTTTTCCCTTTAAAACCTCCATTAAAAACTAACCAGTGGTAGGGAGTTCTCACCTGTAGTTTGTCCTCATGGTTACTGTGGGTGTCAGACAAGTGACGGAACTCCTGAGTTAGTTTGAAACAATGGTTTAGATGTTCTGGCGAAACAAAGTCCTCAGCCACTTTAATACAGCTATGAAGATTCTGAACCTACAAAGAAAACACAAATGAATTGTCAACAGCCAAGTTAATGAAGTGCCCTGAATAGTACCCCTGTGATAAATCGATCCAAAGAAATAATCAAAGCATTATTTCATTAAATTTCGCAGAAGACCATTGTTATTGCATTTCTGTGTACAAAACCAATGATCATAATAGCTTTCTGAAAAAATAATCATCCGACTATGATTGGCTGCTTCTAAGAAAGCAAGCAATGTATTCTCATGCAAGGAGTTCCAAGTTCAGTTCACTAATGTAATAAACAGAAGTACTGAGAAATTTATCTTTTTCAAGTGAAGCTCTATACAGACCAGTATGTAATTTCGTAATTACATTGTTGTTCTATTTAAGTCTCCATACATTTATTGTCTTGAATATACAGCTAAGCATAAATCAGTAGTTTTTTTTTCTCTGACTTAATTCCTTTTTCACACCAGAGATTTGCATCAGGTTGTGTCTTACCTGATGTGGGGCACCCCCTGGAATAAAGATGGCATCCCCCAGGCACTGCACAATACAGTGGCCCTGGACTCCATACTCCTTCAGCAGACGCTCCCTCAGTTCTTTGTTCAAGTACCAGGACTGGTCATGGATGGGATCATGGTCGGGCTCAATGGCCTCCCCTGTCTCCTTGGCAACCTTGTTTAGGAAGTCCCGAATCTTGTCTGCATCTTGAGCATCATATATGTGCCAAAGAGCTCCTGGTTTTTCCTTCATTTCGACCACCCTCCGTTTTGTGAGGAGGTCAGCCCCAGCCTCATTAATAGCTCGTATGGCTGCTAGAAAAAATGAAGACATGACGCCTGTTGGTTACTATGCTTTAAAACACAACCCCAGAAAATGTCGATTGATGTTTGCACACACTAAAATGAGAATGAGATCGGCAGACTTTACTGAAGGATAGGAGTGTATGGGGCATTTTGACCGGCAGATGCCTTCAAGTGCAAGTCAAAAAGCCGCCATCACCTAGTCAACATCGGAAAAGTTGCCTGATACTTATTCTGATCCTAATGCATGAAACATAGCAAACCCAATACATTTTCTGTTTTGTGTGCCACTGCCACTGGGGTGAGCACATGCCGGAGGAAATTCTCACACTTCACATACAACCCTACACCACAGCATACATCCGCCACATTAGAGTTCACATCAGACAAGAACAGGAAAGAAGCAAACAAGCACTGAAAATTAAGATGATACCAATTAAGTCCAAAATCAATTAACATCAGCGAGTAGTCAACAAATACCCTTTCTCTCATATTCTCTCTCTCTCTCTCTCTCTCTCATCAACTTACCCCTTTCATATTCTTCCTTGTCATCCACTGGTATTCCCACATACATCATCACATTGACAGCGTCAGAGACATCTAAATGCAAGTTGGTGGTGCCTGTCTCAGTCTTGTGGGCAAGTCCTGGAGTAAAAGAAACCATGTGCATCATTAGAAGAACTAACAAGTTATACAAATCTTTATTCTGACAAACACAGAACCCGATGAGTATTGGTCTCCAGTAGCCTTATGCTTAAAATGACAGGAATCAGCTGATGCTTCAAGCAACTGGTAATTACATAATTAATGGACATTCATACTTTCTGGATGAAGTCTTCTAACTCAATCAAAATCCCTAAAATTGTCTTTAAGTATAAACAAAGAGTGATCAACTAACCATAAGCATTGTACATCTTGGGGCCGAGGTCGGGCCTGACAAAGAAGTCCGGCAGCCTGGAGGCCAGGTTGAGGCGGCCAGTGCGATGGGTGTACTCAGGGACAGGCAGGGCCTGCATCAGGTCCTGGAACCGTGTGGGTAACAAATCACTGAAGTCCTCCCCAGGAGGCCAGTCCTTCAGCTTCATCACCATCGGCTCATCATCATCATCCAGCAGTCGCTCTGGAGAAATAACAGGATAAGAAATTAATATGATCATATCAACCACCTGTCTTAAGTTCTGGTGTAGGGGAAACAATTTTGCTAGAAAAAATTTCTTTTAAAGAAATAACACCTTTAGCTTTCCAATAAGTTACAATTGAATATATGTAGTACATGAAATTGATTAAGTAACATATCTTGTTTAAGAGTATTTGAACGGAAAAACATGAAAGTGACAGTGTTTCGATATCGAAGAGACTTACCTCTACAGACTTCAAAGCCTTCCCAAAAGGCTTTCATTTTCTGACCCACAATGACCACACCAGTCAGGCAATTGACCAGGTCATTCTCCAGATGACCAAACTCTTTGGCAAAGGTCTCTGGCTTCCACAGATCCATGTTCAGGAGCTTCTCCAACCCAGACACCATGACAGGCAGCCCCAGCCTCCACTGATCCTGGAACAACTGGAGGTTGTTAGCGTGGCGGGGGTCGTGCAGGCGCAGGAGGCGTCCGTCACACAGCCAAGTGTGAGGCACATCTGGGTAAAGAAGACTAGTCTCGGTAAGGTTGTGTACTGGGATGGGGGCCTCACGCCCAGACATGGGGGCAGAGCCGTTCTTTGGGATATAGTGCATCAGTTTCAGTGGACTCGGAGTGGTTCCGTCCATCAGCTTGGCATCCTCACGTGGCAAATTTTTCTCCACCACAGACTGGATGATCTCACTCAAGGTGCTGGTGTACATCTTCCCATCCCCTACCACACTGCTGTTATTCATCTTGGCTCTCTTGGTGAGAAGCATCTTCAAGGTGGAACAGTTGTCTGCATTGTGGTGGCCCTTGTGGTCCCCCGTACACTCTGGCCCACACACTAAACCAGCCTCCAAGTTAGCGGGCAAATTCTTCCCTATCTGGGCTGAGTTAATGGCGGGAGCATTCAGGGTGTAGGCCTTGGTTTCTTGGTAAGAAGGAAAGTCTGAGGCGTTTTTCTTTTCCCTGATTTTGTTCAGAGACTCCTGTTTATTCTGTCCTTTGTTTTTCTCCGAGTCCATGGAAGCCACATCTGCCAGTAAGCTGAGAGGGTCAATGTTCCCCCCTGCCATCCCCTTGCTGCCTACAGAATTCATGCTCTGGCTAAGGGGGCCATTGGAGAGAGCATCTTTGGAATTAAGTAAGCCATCTGGATAGGATGAACTGAGCTTTTTGCCATGGTGGTTGTGACCGCCATTGTGACCAAATCCATTGACCAGTTTCTTCCCCTCTGGAGATATGCAGTTGTTGACTGCATGGAGAAGTTGCTGAAGAAAGAGAAAAGATTTTACATTAAACCTTCTGAGAAAAAGAAAACAATCCAAATATCTCAACTGTCTAGAAAGAAAAGCAGTAAACTGGAAGATAAACATTGTAGAAGACTATAGCTATTTCTTTTTAAATCAAGTTTGAAAATCATATATGCAAATAAATATATATGATGGGTGAAATAAAGTTTGAACCAACTTAAAACCTGGCTGTAGAAAAAAAATCAAGACAAAGACCCCCACGTTAAAACAACCACAGATCAGTTCTTACCTGGCTGACCCCATTCTTGGGTGGTAAGACGAGGTCATCCCCGGCACCACAGGGGCAGTACACTGGGATGGACCACTTTGGACGGACTTCATGGATCAGCCTACCAACCTCCCACAATGCTGGAAAAATTACACAAGCAAAGATTTCTTGTAAAAATTGAACTGATATATCCAGATACATAAATAACAAAATAAATTGACACTCAACAAAGCTGGTTTTGCAAAACTCATACATCAGGTCTCAGGTTCACATTATGAAATATGCAACAACTGCTTAAATTCACATCAATTATGAGATTACTGTATCACAGCCCACAATGAATCAATTTGATCTTTAAAAGTATAAAATCAGAGCATGATGTGGAAGACAATTACCATCTCCAGGGATGATCTGTGTAAGCATCAGCTTGTCAGGGTCGTGAGGCTGTCTGTTGGAGCTGCATGTCAACCAGTTGTGTTCGTCACCTTCCTTTGACTCTTCCTCCATGTCATACTCGGAGACAGCATTGTCCTTCTTCACCTTGTAGCAGTCCAGGCAGACGACAAAGCCGCACTTCTGACACACCCAGTGCATGTTGAACAATGTGGTGTCGCACACATCACACATTTCACGCACGCCCTGCACCTGACGCTTCCATGCTATCTTGTCTTCTGGAAATAGTTAGAAGGATGATATTACTTTTCTGGATATACTTTATTGCTCTTGGTTCTACCTTTATAATCCATACATAATGAGCCCTTGATTGCAAGAAATTGACTGATAAGGGTGTACACAACTTTTTTTTTTTTGTATGACACATTTTAATTCAAACACAATCCTGAAGCCCAGCTTTAACTGAATTAAAATGTAGAATGGGCTTCGGAAAATCATTCAAACCTGGACTCGATGAATCCAGCAATCAAATCTTGCAAACTACCCTAAAATCCAACTTACGGTGTTCTCCTGCCCATGACATGGCAGCCTGCTCCTGCATGACCAGCTCACAGAACTTGTCCCCTACCCGGGTGATGATATACAAGGCAGTCTCCACATCCAGGCGAGGGTGGATCACTGGAAAGAACACACAGTCAACTTAGTTTAACAGTCAGTTTAACTTACTTCTATTGTGCATTTTTTATTCAGTATTTGTCAAACTGCAAGGAGAGTAAAACAAAGACTAACCTATTCTTGTACTGATATATATCAGAAGATTAATAATGCAACACTCAAGTTCCCATTCCTTGATGTTTATATTATTCTAGAGAAGCTTCTTGTTTTATTAATGGAAAAAAGAAGAGATCATATTTACCAGGTGTTTGCGGCATCCAGGGAGCAATGTCATCAACTTCTGCATCACTTGGGTGAGAGAAGCCGGCGATCATCAAGAACCCTTTTTGGCTAAATCGCAATCTGAAAACCAACAATATTCAATATAGTAATAGCTTTGCATTGAGAAAATAAATAAATAAATAAAAATAATTCTTTTTTAAATCTTCAAATACAATACAAAAAGAAATGTCATGCAATATCATGTAGGAAATTGTTTGTAATTTGTTACGGGTCAATGATCAGCCCAAGTTGCTCTACCACAATCTAACCACAAAATTGTCAAACCTGTTCAACAACAGGAAAACGTAATCTGAACTGTCACTCAAAAAGACTTGTACTTAGTCATAATATCTAAATGCACAACTAAGGTCTCTTGAGTACTGAAATTGAAGTTTTTTCCCCTTATTTCAGCACTAGGTTCATCTTTAATATACTAAATTTAAATGCATATATTCTCTTGTTCTCTTATTTTATTAGATCAATGGAACAATGAACTCCAAACAGCACGCTTAATTTACAGTCTCCCAGCATAAGACAGCTTATATCCTCACATGACCTTTACGGCAGTGCAGGCACATTTCTACAAGGCCTTCTAACAACTGGATAAACAAGCTGGCATTATGTGGTCACATGGTCTTATCAATAAATGACATGGCAGCCACCAGACTCTCTGACTGCTCACAGTCTACAGCTGGAGGGGGAATCAGACTTTTTATGTGCAAGGGCAATAATGAACATAGTACTGAATAGGAGCCTCTGCTATCAATTCATTTGCATTTACATGGTTTTCGTAAAGCTTTGCACTGTCACTTTTTTAAGTACATGCTTTCCATCCTGGTCATTATCTGGAGCAAAGGGAATGTATTAATCCATCCACCAAACTCCATTTCTATTACACAAAAACAAGGACATGTCCAGAAAACCCATCTATCAAGCTGGTGGCCCATTTAGGCAGCCACAGAATGGGCAATTACTCTTCCATCACAGAACATGCCACTGACCTCAATGGAACAAAGAGGGCCTGTGAGAGACCACAACTGGGGTAGTGACGCCACTCACAGTCGGCCTGACCCCTATTTCCAAACCATGGCAGCCACTTTGCATAGTCTGACACATGCAGTTACATTAAAGGTCTTAGATGAGGAGTCTGAGGCAAGGTAGTCTAATTAGGAAATCAATGGTTAACTATGGCTCCCACTCAGCCCACCTAAGCCAACTGATCTACGATAATGTTACAGAGATTTAATGGGACTTGGGAGTTCTGGTATGCTGCTTTGTACTATTTCTAGCTTGGCTTCCACCCATAACCCGAGTTATATCTAGGCTGCTGAAAACATGCCAAGTCATATCTCAAAACATGCGGGAAGATTAATTACATCAGTCTGAGGTTTTTTCATTACTTCTGCACGAAATGAACTGCCTAATAACACAGCTTAGTCTAATGGTCTTCTACCATCTGTAATGATAAATGAATGGAGCTGGGTGCAGCAGCCCCGATGTCTCATCACCAGCACGCACATCAGCAGATAGTCCAGCCACCGATAATAGCAGCAATGTCCATTATCTATTCTTAAAGAGCCCTGGCTTATGAATAACCAGATAAATGCCTCTCATATCTATATTTGGGTGATAAATATATATCAGGATCAAAGCAAATATACATGAACATGTCCATGCAGCATAACAAAAATTAATCTGTGGAATTATTAAAGGATTAGGAAATCTCATTCAATCTAATAATAAGCCTTTGAGGTCCCTGTAATAACCTTTGTTGTAAACAGGTTTTCAGCATCCCTGTGACAGGCACTAATTGGTCTTACAGGTAATAAGGGGCCTCGCTGTGTCCATCAACATACATTACAGACATGAAACCAAACATATTATTCATTTACCAGCCATCCGCCACCATGCACACATAATGATCC